GTCAAAGGGCATACTGCATGAGCCAATGGGGCCTAGTCAGTCAGCTACACAAGTGGCTGCGATAAGAACTTGATAAATCTCGGGCTCTTTGATCTTGGTTGCCCACTGTACCGGCAATCCGATCTGAGCACACTTGTCACGAAGCCGTTGCACAACCATAGGATCCAGTTGTGCATGAAGCTGCTGAGATAGCTCCAAGGCTTTCTCAATGGTTTGGGCCTTTTCCGGGCCCACTTTGGACTTAACATTCTTCAGCCACTTGGAGATGTTCGACTTGGCCACCCCTTGAGTAGGAATTTCATGGAAAACTCGGGAATTGATAATGGCATCAGGATCCAAAGCCTTATCCACAAGCTCTTGCGTAGGATCTGCCACTGGGGCTTGAATCGGCAATGCATTGATTGCAGCAGTTTTACTGCATAATCGCATGCGCTTGGCAGGAGGCTGATTCATGGCTGCAGGGTTAGAAGTAGAATTCTTAGCCTTTTCAGCTTCCAATTGGGCCTGAAGGTCTGCAATTCGCTGACTCTGATCTACAAAAGACGATGAACCCGAAGCACTTCCAGCAAAAGGACGAAGCGTATCCATGATATGATTGGACAACGCAAGAGTTCTAGCTGCCTTTACCTCGTCCGAGCTCATAGAGCTCTTGATGGAGACTTTGTCTGGATTCTGTCTACAGTATTCAGCAGAAACCTCATCGAGGTCCCATCGGCTTTCTCTCACAGAACTGAGAAACTGTGACGTGAGTACAGACTCGCTAACGCGGCGTGCGATGACGACTGAAACATATTGTCCATGGCTTAACGCGCGGAGATGGTTGTTTCTCCATCCCTTCCATACTAAGTCAGTGACACGCAAATCAGCAAGCTCACGGCCTGCCAGGCGATATTTTGTTGCCCAGCTTGTAGCCGCTACGCGTCGCAACATGGTCTTACCGTAGATCTCCTTGGTGTCTAGATGAGTTTTGTCTGGCTTAAACTCATCCGGCAACCCTTCAACAAAGGGCACTCCAGTTGGGGATCCGTAGTCCCACTGTTGTTGCTCACTCCATTCACTCTTCCTCTTCTCAGGAGTTTGCCATCCCGAAGAGGTCCAGCTGTTGTTGTTGGAAGAGTGCGAATTGGATGCCCATGACGTTGATTGCCAAGTTTTCCACGACATGCTAAGCAACGACGCGCAGTTGAAAAGGGAAGACTGGGGCCCGATGCTTGAGATCACTGCAAAAACACAACAAGAAAAAGGACAAGGAAGGAAACAGAAGCATTTTGGATTCTGGCAAACCTGCTTACAAGATATACGAAGAAACTACTCCGGAGGCTCAAAGGTCTTTTCTGGCTCTCAGGACATAAGAACAATCCACTCAATCTTGGCAAGATCTACTCGAATTGCCCAACGTTTGTCGGTGGTTTTGCTACGCACTAAGCCAGCGCGAGTAGCTAAATTCAGCTCTACCCAGGTGGAAGACCAAGGGTACCTGGTGTGGCCACCGACTATGCATCCACTCAGCATTACTCCAGACTGCTGCTTCGCATGGTTGAAAAGAGCTGAACACTGCAAGACGATCTCCTCAACGGTCTGTTGTTGGTCCGTATGCTTCAACAACGAAAAGAAAGCGGAGACCGGGTAGTCCAGCGGTAAGCCCATACGGTCAGTTGCACTGGGCAATATAACTCCTGTTTTGAGTATGCCCAAGAGTCCCTGCGGACTCGTCATGTGGTAAAACTGATAATATGTTTCACCTGTAGCACGTTGGGTGTTAGGGCCCGGGAAGTTTCTGGTACGTAGAGCCCAGATAACTCTGCCGCTTGCAGTCATAAAAGAGCGGCCGGATGAAACGAGGCTAGCAGGTTGGTACCCCAACGTATGCATAACACGAGAAAAAGTATCCACCACTTTGTCACGATGTTCATGAACTTGGCCATACGTTGAAAGTAACTCATGAAGCCAGCGGGGCCATCGTGTCAACTCACTCTCCGTAAACTGCTGCATGCGCTCAAACTCTTGCTGAGTAAACTGCTTGCGCTGATCCATAGTACGAAGCTTTGCAAACTCGAAAGGATAGAAGAGGCCTTTGGGAACCTGTGTGGCTGGGAGTTGTCCCAATGCCGGCCAATCGTAGTTCAGCGGTATCATACTGGCAAGCCGAATGGAGTAGGACAAGTCGTCCTCATCCGGGTTTTGCGCCGGATAGGATTTGGGCGCTCCCTTCTTGTTGTTTATGGTGTCATCCAGTACCCAGGACGACGACGCAGTACTCAAAGAGCTAGGCGGTGGTATACTAACATTGGAAGCTCTCTGCAGAAAACCTGTGATATTGCCGGCTGAAGAATGAAAAGGCGAAGACGTCGGTGCAATCACTCGAGGCATATGTCCAGCACTACCGCAGAATGTGGTGTTTGTGGTGGTGGCGATGGTTGGTGTTGGTGGGGGTGGTGGTGGTGGCGGTGGTGGTGGAGGTGGTGGAAACGGTGGAGGTGGCAATGGAGATGTAAGACTTGTGAAGTCGATGGTGGGTGGATGACTGGTATGGTGAAGTGGCGGCTGAGGGCTATCTGCTCGTAGATCTCCCGGTGGTAAATCTTGTAGTGCCAGAGTTACACTTGGCTCTGCATTCTGGGGTTCCGGGGTGCGAAAGTTTGCACCAATCCACTGAGAAGGCGGGTAGCTCTGCTGAATATTGTACGCTTCACGTGAAGGCCGCGAAACAGACTCTGAACATCTTTCTACAGCTTTGGGACCAATCCAGCGTCCCGGTGGCTCCTCAAAGGACCTGCTTCGATGACGTCTACTCCGTGAACGGCGTTCACGGTGTCTCGGTTGATCAGACAAAGCTCGAAGATGTTCCGTGGTACGAACATTGTGAGCAGCAGCTGCCGTCTCGTAAAAATGAAAGTTGAACACAGGAGCCATGGCACTCAAAACTGAAAGCAAAGTAATGTTATGTAGATGACACGTGAGAAAGTGTAACGGTGAGGTAAATGTTGATGAAACTAGGAAGATGAGAACATAACCTTGTTGACGAGCCCATGCTTCACAAGCAGAAAAATCTGTATGCCATGAGACAATCAGATCAAGTGTCTCCCGAAAAAAGCTTGCATTCGAGCTGCATGTTTTGTCGTTGCGGCAAAGTTACTCTGATCCTTGCAGGCTGAGAGCGATTAGCTAAAACTCAGCAAAGACGAATTAGCTGCAACATGCTCTACGGAGTGCGACTGCGTTTGCGCTTGCGAACTGGTGAAGCATTCTCACTCACAGAAGAGCTCACGGGAGTCTCAGCAGAAGTTGCTGTTTGAGAACGGGCACGGTCTTGCAGCCAAGCCAATGTTACTGGAAACCATTCCCAGTACCAAACTTCGTTGTTCTCAGTCTTCTTCCAACACCAACGCCAAACCACTGATGATGCCGGTGGAGTACGACTTCTATCGCGAGCAGACAGCATGTCGACGCACTACAGAGCTAAGTTTGGTAACGCAGCTGCGGACACAACATGGATCCGCTGCATTCACAGTGAGATCTCTAGAAGTCAGCTTTCCGGGTGTCTTCAGCGCACGTGTATGGCTCAGGAGGTCTTCAGAATGGTCTTCAGAATGTGCATTCGAAAGCACAAAATCTAGAGGTACAACAAGTGACATGCTTATTGTGATAGCATCTTGGATGTCTTCAGCGGTCAGAAATCATCCAGCACACCATCTTTTGCGTCGTCAAAAAGGTATGTAGAGGACGCATTACTAAGAACACCACTGACTAAAGCGCTCAATAGATATAACATCGGCAACATCATCCTACATGTGTGTCAGAGCTCTTCGGGCGACCTGATCCCGAATCTTGACACACCGCCTCTGCAGTAGTTACATTACCAGGTCGCACAGGTTCGGGACGGTGGGAATTCGTAGAGGTGGACTTCAGATTAATCCGTAGACAGCTAGGAGCGCAATCATTCTCAAGAGGTATTCATCTTGTGCATACGATGTTCATCTGCCAGAGGACTTCATATGTTTTCTGCGTCCGGATGTTTTCATCAGCTGGGAGCATTCACATCTCATCGTTCGGTAATTTTAAGCGTTAGATGTAGACTGAAGTCCACTATTCAGAAGGAAGACAGGGACTCAGGGAGTATTCATCATTCCCCCGCAGACCGAGGGGCCGGCAGCGCTTTGGCAGAATTACTACCGGGAATCACACACATACCCAGTCTGAGCTGGTTGTCTCGAATCGTCATCTTTCTCTTCACGCTTCGAATTGTGCACTCTTTCTGTACCGCTTCGACAAAGGTGGTCTTCAGAGCTTCAAAATTACTGGAATGTCTTCAGATGCTCTACAACTTCTTCTACCAGCCAACTACATAGAACGAAGTACTCAGAAAACCAAGTAGAACAGAAGGTAGAATTGGGTTACACAAGTCTGTCTGTAGTCTCAAGACTACATGCTCACGTAGATGTCTTCTTTTCTGACATCACTGCAGGTACGTCAGTCCAGCGTCCCAGACTGATTTCAGTGCCTAGTCAGAGCCTCTTCGTTGGGCAATCACTCTGACTGGGCAGATTGCCCCCCTGCATTCAACATTACTCGCTATCTCCGATGGTCTTCAAAGATGAAAAGTCTTCAAAAAGTCTCTTCCTTAGAAACAGGAATTCCACACACACACACACAGAGACGCACACAGACACAAACAGACGCACACAGAATCACACTGACACACACAGACACGCATAGAATCTCACATGCACATACAGATACACATACACGCACAGACACACAAACACCCAAGCACCTGATCACAGACACAAACACACAAGCACACACAGACCCACAAAGAGACAGAGACAGACAAGCACACACACACAGACAAACGAACACACAAACACAAACACACATGCACACGCGCACACACGTACAGACAAATAACGAAAACACAAACGAACACACACAAACACCACACACATGCACGTGCACATGGGCGTCGGGGTCGGCATTTTGTAAGCTCTGACGTGACCCAGGTTCTGAATGGCGAGTGTTTGTTTCGTGGTGAGCATTGGCGGCAGGTAGGTCACGTGCACTCTCGCTGCATGCTGTGCACCATGCAGAGTCATGTTGCAGGCTCCTCTGGGTGCAAGGAGTTTGGTACGAGGATTGTTGAGCGTCAATCCGGGCCAGAGGCAAGTGTTCCATCATGTCAAAATGCCAGAGGATCTGCGTTGCAATATGTTGAGATCGTTTAGAGTCAGATGGTGCAGGCTGAAGGCACACGAAGCTAATGATCATGCATGGTTTCAGAGCCTGGCGCCGAAATGCCACCGGAGAGTTGCCGACGTGACACATTGTTGTTGCGATGAGGTTTTGACGAGGCCCTGATGCTTGGAGCCAGCCTGCCTGGCTTTTCTGGTGTTTGCTACAGAAGGCCATGCAGACCTACGACTGCCTGCCGGCAGGGCATCCTCCCCATTGGAATCTGCAGAGTCTATCAGGGTCTCAGAATCTCCAGAGCGTAGCAGACAGGTCACCATTGAGTCGCTGCGAGGGCAGCCGTCTAAAGCTCGCTGACCTGAAGCGCTCGCCAGAACCTCAGAACTATTAACATCTGCACTCGAGCGTTGTAAGTGTACAAGCCAGGAACTTCGAGTGGAACCTCGCGGACTCCGACACCAGTGGGCTACCAGCATGAATCCGCAATGAAGACACCGGTTGCAGTCGAGGTGAAGACTGACCGTGACGACTCTCTGGCAGCGGCCACAGCCACGGCCAGTCTTGTGCACCAAGCGGTCATGTAAGTCATGTGTCGAGAGACTGTGATGCTGGAGGTCAGAAAGGAATGTACGTGCCCTTTGAAGCGCACGATTTTCATCGGCTGAGCACACGAGCCGCCCGTGTAGCGTAGCCTGTGGCGTCAGTGTGGTCATGCGCTTCTGCGGCATTGCTGCGGCTACGGGTGAGATTTGCTGCTGCGCCGAAAAATGATTCGGGTAGAAGTGTCAGAAGTGTGTAGAAGCTACATCGTGCAGCACATGTGCGGCATCATGTACATGGGCAGCTACCTAAGCCTCCCACCGTGTGAGACAAGGGTTCGAGCTTAATTCAGAGCCAAGAGAACATGGAAAGATAAAATGCAAGGTGCCAGTTCCTGGCAGCACCGAGGGCACAGGCAGTGGTACACCCATGTCCAAGCGAAAGGCAGCCACTAAGATTTCTGAGTTGAATATTTTACAGAGGCGTCATAGTAGTGGGCCATGGGCTGCCTGGCTGCGTCCTTCGCCCCGGCCTGAGGGGCTTCGGCCTGCAGCAAAGCATGAGGAGTGCTTCGCAGCTGCTTCGCCCTCGCTTTGCCAAGGAGGGCTGAATGCTTTGCCTTCAGAGAGCTTGCAGGTACGCCAGCATCTCCGCTTCCATTGCATAATTACTTGGTTATCTTTGTCGTACAGATCCACACCGTCCTTTCCTTGACATGCTGCCGCAGATCGCGAGCAAGCTGCGGCCCCAGATGACCAAGCAGAGTTCAGACATGAGGAGAGACTGTCAATACTGCAACTCAGGGCTTGGTACCATGGCTATGATGCTTTCCGGAAGGCTGCATCGCTTCATGCCTGTTACAACATGAGGATAACCATGGAAAATCATGTGGGCGGGACACGGGACGCACGGAAAGGTACCAGCGGATCTTTCTGAGGCCAGGCCAGCTGCCAGCTTCTGCCTGCATTGTGACTCGTGACTCACTTTGCTTCCTTTTCTGCCGAGGCCACAACAATCGGAGCCACCATGACCCTGCTGGCGATGATCACATGTGTAGTTCTCTTCTGTTGTGAGGTAAGGGAAGTTTGCTCCCAGCTTGTCACAGTGCTGCAGCGACTGTGACCAGACATCGGCCTTTCTGACGGATGCTCCGACATCTCGGATCGTCGCTTGCTTGAAACAGGGCCGTTGTTCCTGGTTAGCGGAAATTTGCTTGGAAGACGTGGCAAGGTGGTTGACAGCAACCAGGCAGCGTCAATCCCGTGTTGACCTGACACTGCACGCAAACTTTGCCAGGACGAGTTGCTGACCATCAACTTTGACGTGACGATGCTGGACGTCGACTGCAGCCACTTGACAGTAGGCCAGGGGATGGCAAGTGCCTGGTGCTCCAACGGCTCTGAGACTGGCGATGCGAACGTGTGCGAACATTACCTTGCGAAGTGAGACTGTAGTTGCCGCATCGGCAACAGCTAAGCGCCTAGAAGGCATAGCATGCGGAAGCAATTGCGTTGGGTGTACCTTCACATCCCAAGTCAGTGACCACCAGATGATTGCGATGTTGATTTCATGGAAGCTGACTGTCGTCGGCAAGCTGCATAAGGCATAGGTCCGGATAGGAGTCTTCCTAGATCGTGCATATGTGCATATCGACAGAGTTCCTATCATTGACTGCATCTGCAGCATATGTTCGGTGTCGCAGGTGTGTGGGATGCCTTCGGAACAGAACGCTTTAACATCACCAAGAACGTGCAGAAGCAGCGCGGTGCACTCAGTTGTCACTGCATCGCTTCTTGCATTTTCGCGCATGCGATGCTTGGGACCCGCATGCGCAGGAGTTGATCACAAGGGCACTCGAAAGGGTCAGCCATACAAGGAGGCATTTTTCAGCAATGTGGGCACAGGGAGTGAGCACGTCTTGGCAGTTGTTGACCCAGGAAGAGCTATTGGAGCTCGAATTCAGCGATCGCAGCTTCACTGCGGAGGTTCGGATTCGGTGCAGTAGGGCAAACACGTCTTGAAGTTGGACCGATGAGTGCTGGCCCATGCTGGCCCTGTCAGGAGCTTGCAGAGCTAGACTCCGATTGGGGATCATCCAGTGACAATTTCAAGCCCTTTCCTAAGCAGTTCGCTTCGAAGTTCCTGCTTGGCCTCAGTCGGCGGGAAAGGCGATACTACAGGCGGTGCGCGGGGACGGGTGGACAAGGTGGGGAGCGCGATCCTAGAAAATTGCCAGACGCGACAGGACACAATCGCGCGGATGTCCATTCTTGCATCAGTTTCTTCGGTTGGGTATTCGGGTTCTCGGCTTAACCTTTGCTTTTTCAGACACATATGTTGTATCAAGTGTGTAAGTGTGTGTGTGTGTGTGTGTGTGTGCATTTCTCGTTCAGGAGATAAGTGATAACGGGCTCACAACCCATCTTTCGGCAGGGGGGCGGAGACGGTGTGTCGGGGCTCCTCCCAACGAAGCTCTCCTCCACACCCCAGGTAACGTACCTGCTTGTATCCGCCCTGCGCCCCAGCGCACGCAGCTCGTGGATACTTTTGTTTTCATCTCATTTCATGCTGTGTGATTCCGCGTGTCTCACACCGCGAGAGCAGGACCCATGCCCATACTTGGCACCAAAACTTTCATCTCATAAGTGCGAGTACGCGCCGGCGTCCCCCCACTACCAACATCATCGCAGCTCACCAGTTTGCCAGTAAATCTGTCCGAAGGTGCAACTAACACCTTCTCGGCGTGTGTTTGCGTCTGTGTCTGGGTGTGGGGGTGTGAGCGTGTGGGAGTGTTGGATCGGATGCTTCCTATGTTGGCCGGACTTTTTGCATCTACCTTGAACATGTGGTGAGTCAAGAGGCTATGGAGGATTTTCTAGGTCTTGACTCGACCTTCAACTCGATCAGCATCGACGTCAATTGATGCTTCGATCCGATCTTTGGCAGATTCTACAGCCCAACGGTGTAAGTCATTGTGCCAGAATTCATATCGAAGGCCATGCTTGCCCCCTCATATTCGTGATGAACAACTGAGTCGTCTCCGTCATAACTTTGCTGCAGCTGGTTACGGTTACTGTTCCTTGTAAACATACCATGTTTTGCGTGGCTTGTCTGCATTCGAACAACGGTTGCTGAGTTCTTTAGGCTCACAGTGTCGTACCACGCAAGCCCAGATGCCATGAAGTGAACGCAGCTGATGCTGGTCTTCCTTGGGGCATGTCCGACTACATCGTCCGGATGGAGGTGTGTATACAAGAGCTACCTTCTGAGCATGCAGATTTGGGAGCGTACCGAAAATTTCGTGAAGTTGCAAGCCTTTCGTCTTGAACAACGCGGGCAGCATCTATGTTTCGCCTAACCAGTTTCAGCAGCGTGCACACTAGCTCCAGTCACGTTCATCCGCGCACTGTTGAGTAAAAGTTTGCGTCCTCCCGCTGTTGTAATGCCTATGCGTGCGGATTTACAACATCGGTGTGATGAAGATGTGGCCATCAGACGCATACAAGCACAACTGGACTCACTACAGGTCCAAGTTCGAGATCTGGCCCAGCAACAATCCGAGCTTTCCCAACAGTTTACAGAGGTAGCTAATGCTGTAACAGTATGAATCAAGAAGGCGTGATGTTCTTCATCCGTTCAGCTGCCAGCTACGCAAGTACCCGAACCCGGCCTACAATCATAGTCTTTCTTGCTTTTCCTTGAAACGTTCGTTTTACAGAGACTGGAGTCTTCGTAGCGTGTTCGCGCTTTCTACCGGTATAACCTGCGTCTGTAGCACTGTAGCTCCTGTTCCGAAGGAAGCAGGACGCTGTGTCTCTTGTCCAGCCGGAGGGCGAGACATCCTCAGCAGTGCCTGCCCAACAAAGGGCTGATAAGTGATGCTGATGCGACAGAGGACGGTCTGTTGTGTACCTGCTCGGAGTAAATGGTGGGAAGAATGCGGCACCAGAGTTAGACTTAGAGCCAAGTGATTCGAAGTAAAAACCTAGCACCAACGGCATCCGTCTAAGTACGGATGACCGGTCTGCAAGTATGTGTGGAGGTGTGTGGGACGATAGGCCTTTGCCTGCAGTGCAAACTGCAAAGCCCTGGCCAGTCCGAGGCACAATGATTTCCAAGCTGTCATTGATGCCCACGACTTCACCATGATCAACTTCTATGCCGACTGGTGGCGCAAGTGCACTAGACTATTTCTCGGCTTTCCGGCGAGAATCCTGAAAAGGTGCAGCCACTGCCGGAACTTCGCTCCGACATGGTTCGATTTCGAAAAATCCGTAAACGAGCAGGCAACTCAAAGCTTTGCCATACTTGCTGTACTGTAATCAGAAACGAATGCTGGCAGTGGAGCAAAGGCACAAAGTCACGGCGACTGATGCTGACGGCCAACCCGCAAGCGTTCGTCCTTTGTCTTCGTTCTTATGTGTTTACGTTTAGATTCCAGCCTGGCAAAGTCTGACTGAGACCTTCTTCGGCTAAATTGTGTGGATTTCCAGGCCTGGGAAACTGCGAAGACAACGCATGCGAATTTGCCACCAAATCGGCTGACCTTGTTGCGCAGGACACATGCAAGGAGCAGATGATTCGTGGTTTTCCGGCAGTCCGCTTGTGTCTTTGCTTGTATGGCTAGAAAGTCCTGTCGGCAACCCTGCTGCAGATGCACAAAGCCCTACAAAGGTACCGCAGAGGTGCCAAGAAAGGTGAGTTTGACGAGTCGGCGGCTGATTGCTTGAGCCGTGGGAGATGATGTGCAACCTTTCCAGACCCTACTTGTAGTGCACAGGTACACTGGCGAGCGCAACGCAGAAGGGATGACTAGTCCCGCAGCTCATTTCAAGCCGATGTTGTTCAAAAGAATAAGCTTTGGCACGAGGATGGATGCAATCGATCGTTGCAAAACGCCACCTCCACACCGGTGCTACGTGCGCTCCAGCACCTTCCTTGACAGTGCAGAGGCTGAACATGACACCGGCAAGGTATCAC